CCCTAAAAAATATTTTGACACCTACAACTCCCTAAACACTCAAAATGAAACTCTAATAGAACATAATTAATCCAAACATAAATTAAAGAAAAAATAATTTGAAAAGTGGCATTTTTGTAAAAATTTTAAAAATGTGACATTTTTATAAAATGACATTTTTTGAAATTTCTCTTCCTTTATTCCTTTATCTATCGTTCAATTAGTTGAGCATTATAATATAATATTCTAATTATCTTTATCGTAGCAAAACAATTTTGTTAATATAACTAAATATTATTATATTCCAAAAACATTTTTCTCTTTTTTTTTCCCAAAACTAATCTTCACGTAAAGTCAAACTATTTAATATATTAAGAATTTTTAAGATAAGCGACTTGAAATGTGTTTTAAATTTTCATAGATTTTCAGACAAACTTACATATGAGTTACTTCAAGAAATGGCTATGAAAAGCCTAAGAGAAGATAGCCAAGAATGTCGTTTTACTCGTTTTTAAAAAGAAAATATTATTCTGAATATTAATGATCGATCTAAAATTAATTATAATTTCGATTGGACACACATAAAAAATTATTTGGAATGTTTGAAAATGTAATACAACATTTATAAAAATAATCCACAAGATTAAAAAAATCGAGCAATAAAAATAATTAATTATTTTAAGTTATTATTTTTTAAATTTAAATTTGCAATAAATTAATCCTAAATACAATAAAGAAAATATTTATTTGCTTGAGTTTCGTCTCTTTATAATAATCAAATACACATTTGTCATAATTTATAATTTTATATTAAATAAGAATACTTCAAGTAACAACAACAGCTTTTACAGTTTTCGTTACCAATCATACTTTATTAATATTTTAAAGTAACAGTTATAGTTCTTACAACCATTTTTTTTACGGCAAAACATTTACAGTCACAGCCTACAGTCATAATCCGTACCAATCAGCTCCCTGGTAGTGAAAACGATCAAATGAGCATTTTGAAAAATTCATATTGCAAAATTCCATGTTATCTAATGATCGAGAGCTCGAGCTCGGTGTAAACAAAGCTAGAAATTGAGACTGTCAAATGAAAAAACGGGAACTTGATTTGAATTGTTTGTAGTCTGGTGAAGAAGAGTGTTTGGAGAAGCATTAAACGGTGACTACTATATATTGGAATAAATGTGGAAGCATTATTCGTTGTTTTGGAGAAGTTTCGTGGTACTAATGGAGCAGATGAGACCTTGGCGCATTAAAAAAGTAATCAGCCCAAATA